CCACGTTTATTAATTGTATTCCATGATGGATTAAATTTAACAGTTATCATTAATGGTTGACATAAATCATTTATTGCTTTTACTTGACATACATCATTAGGTACAAATGATTGTACAGGTGGTAAACTAGGAATACCAGTTTTTGATGATCCACTCGAAGTATGTGAACCACCACTACGTACTGAATCAGCTGCTTCTGGTTGTTTAGGAGTATCCCAAATGATATTAAATTTATAATCTTCAATTTTATCACTACAAAAAGCTAAGAGATCATCGACACGTTTTCGAATGCCTAAAATAGATTTAATATTTTTGATTTTAATAGAAAATAGATATATTTATTATGAAAGTAGACTACAATTTTTTTTGATTACTCGAGTCTATCGAAATTTTGTTGGCCAGCAGTTAACCAATTAGATGAGTTCTTGGCGGATATTTTCGACAACGATGTTCTGAAGCTATTTCTCTTTCGATTTACGTAAGACTGAAATTCTTAGCTTGTTCCATTCGAGAATTATAAAACTTTTCCTGAGATCTCCGATTTCAGATAATTGACCCGTGATCATCCGAAAAATAAATTAGACAGAAGTAAATTATCATGCTAAATCGAATAGTGGTATTTGCTTTTGGGTTCAAAATGATCTGATTATGTTATCTTAATATTTCCGAAAAGTTGACTCCTTCATTCCATGAAAGCTGATTGTGAAATTTCAGAAATCTTGAGATAATAGAGTCAGATCAGTTCGAACCTAAAAGCAAATATCATTATTCAACTCAGCATGTTGAATTACCTCTATCTAGCTATTGTATCGAGTGACCACAGGTCAATGGGCTGAAATCGAAGGTCTCAAAAGGAACAAGATAGAAATTTCGGCCTTGCGTAAACCAAAAAAAAGTTGTGATATTTTATTCTACTTAGAAAATATTTTCAACAAATAAATTAATATTAAATATGTGCATTTTAAAGAATTCTACTTTTCATTATCCTTTTCTTTCCATATAGAGCTGAGAACACTTTCATGAACATTCAATAGAGCTAAAAAATTGACAACATTCACAGAATCAATGAAGACATGAACAATTGATAAATATTTAGAACAATCGTTATGTTTAAACTAGAGACCATCTTAAATCAGTTCATATCATGTTATCTTCTTATTATTTAACTTAATCAAATTTTCTTGAGAAGCTTAGAACACTTACTCATCAAATTGGCCTAGCGATGACTATCTGAACATACGGTATAAATTCTCGTTAGAAATTATATCAACCTAACTGGTAAACAAAACAAATATAACAAGAAACCTGTTCAGGTGGTAAATCGCTTTTTGACTGAGACAATGTTTATTTGATGAGTAATAGAAAAGTCTAGAATAGTAGTTTAGTTTTTCAGACCTTCGTTCTCGATATGAGTCTTTCAACGAAAAGCTGTGGTCCTCCTCGGGTCACGTGAAAAATCGAGTTTTCGATTTCAAACTTCGTACAAACAAAGTTCTTAATGAGATTAGTTGATTGTGCAACTAGTATTTCCTTTCTGAAAATGTAACTCTACGAATAAAATTTGCTTTTATACGAATATTTGGTACCTCAAAATAGGAGATACGAAAAAAGTTACAACTCGTCCGTATATATTAGACCAATAATGTAAAAAGTATTTGTAAATTCTAATAACAACTTTCGAATATTAGGAAGAAAATAAATAACAGTGTTAATTTTTTCTGCTTCAGAAAAATCAATAATTGTTATTCGGTTTGAATTATCTTATTCAATATATTCTTGGAATCAATTTTTTACTAGCAAATACCCTAACAAGTAAACATCCGGTTTTCTTAAACACGAGTTATTTTTCTTTTGCCATCATTTCGACAAACACAAGATAATATCTTTGTTAGTTCACTTTATTAAAAAAAAAATAACTTCTGACTTCTATCGAGACCTACTTTTAATCGTTCTTAACTTATCAAAAATCAAATAACCGAGAAGAAAAATTCTGTGATTCGATCTTATATCAATCTGCTATAGCTAATGTATATATATATACTTTTTTTGAAAATTTTAAATCATACCTTTCATAATTGATTCCATAGCTGTTTCATATTTTTCTTTATTTTCACAACCACGATATTTTTTATGAACACATTCAAAATAAACTCGTGATGCAACACAATATTTAATTGGATCTGTTTCTCGATCTTCTTTTTCAGGTTTTCGACCACATGCACGTGAACCCATTACATCACATGCATTTATATTTAAAATCATGATAACCATGAAAATATAAAAAATAATCATTAAATAATAGTATTTCATCTCGTCTCATCGAAATATCAAATGATTGTAAGCAAAAAAAGGCATTTAATGTTCACTATGTTGTTGTCACCTTCTCGGCCAATAAGAGATTATAATAGACACGTTGGTATCAATTTTGAATAATCGAGAAAGAACAAAAGAGATCACACACGCACGAACTAGGAAATTTTTTTTTTCTACTTCTTTCATTATATACGATTGATAGTTGTAGCATTAACGAAACATACCGATAAATTTATGTACGAGTAATCGTTGACATTTTCTCATTAAACAAACAACAAGAGCTTTGTTGAACGATAGTTATGAGAAAAAGAGAGAGAACAAATATTTATTTAATGACAAAACTGTCGCCCACTAGGACAATCACAATCGAAAAAAAAAAGAAAGAAAAAAAAAACATCTCTATTACGTAGTTTGTGTTTTTTTTTTATCAAGATGTTTCAATCCACCATGATTTTAATCCTAAACCTGGTTCTGATATTGAACCAATTATTGTATAAGGTACTTTTTTATCATCATCATTCGTAGTTTGTGTCATGGATCCATTATTATTTGGCATTTCTTTTGGTGCTGTATCTTCAAAAATTTCTTGTACAACACGAAAACTAAATAATGAAAAAAGAAAAAATCAATAATAATATAGAATTGAACATAGATATATTATTTACCGAATTTCTTCACCAATATCCATAACAAGATCATGTGTTTCATCATCAGTTTCATATTGCCATGCCCATGTTTGTTCAGATTCAATAAATCGAGATGGATGTTGAAGTTTAGTCGATGGAATTAGAATATCATCAAAAAAGTCTATTCAAGAAATTTTCTTTATTTTTTTTAGAGAAAATTAAATATTTCATTTCATATTACCTAATGTTACTGTAATTCCATCTTTACTTGATGATCGAATTTTACCTTTAAAAGATAGATAAATAATTAAATAAAAAAAATCTAATTTCAGATTAGAATATTTCTTACGTCTAGTTTACATAGAGAACTGATTTATAGTCAAATTGAAGCATGATGAGAAGAAAATCAAGGGATTAATTTCGAGTTGAAATTCAAATTTTTCGCTTTACATTAAATATCTTCTTGACTGAAATACTTACGAGAAAATATCTTCAGCCTGAAAATCACTTTTGGTTTCGAACTCAGAGATATATTTTACTGCAATTCTGCTCATAAATAAGCCTAGAATGTTCCCATTACAAAATATTGAAACCCCAAAAATCACTCATATTTCACGAAAGATTCCGATAATCACATGTTTTTTTGGGATTACAATATCTTGTAATGAAAGCATTCTAGTTACAAGTAAGCTTAGCTACGGGCAAAATTTCAGTAAAATGTCTATAACTCTGTAGAGAAGACCTAGTTGCCCTTATTAATATTTTCTTGAGATACACATTGTCTGAAGTCAAAAAGTGATTTTCAAATTGGAAAGATTCTCTCATTCGACGAATTTTTCCTTCCTATACTTCAATAGACGAACAGTCATCAAAGTTATTCATGTTCGTGTTTTTTTTTTCTTACCAACAAGAATTTCATCAATATGCGGACGGAAGACAACATAACGAAATTTAACTTTAATATGAAAATTAGCATCCGATGGCAATAGAATACAATCACCCATCGATAAAATATCATACAAACATATACATAAACCTAATTCTTGAAAAATTGTATTGGCTAATTTACGATCAATTTCTTCAGCTACAATAGTACTCAATTGTTCATTGAATAAATGTGGTGCAATAGAAACTGTATCGTCCAATGTTGCTACAACAAACATTCTTGTTTTTTTTGTTTTTTTTTCTAAAAGATGATTTTTGCAAAAGAATAAAATTTCATTTGGAAATAATATTTTTTTTCTAAACAAATTCCGTTCTTGTTTTATTTAAGAAAAAAAAAAAAAGAAATTTATAATAATAACCTATAATGTGTCTTTTTCAGTAGTTGGTTTTTTAATACGCCGTACTGTTGATGTATCAATAGACGATTTTGTATCAGTTGAAATAGGAGATGATGATTCAATCACAGGTTTAGATCCTTGAGTTGATGTTGTTTGTGAAAGAAAACCTTGTCGATCTTTTGATTGAAGATTATTATAAATAGCTAATGCTGATGCAACCATTGATGACATATCACCAGCATTACTTGGTAAAATTATTGTATTATTTGTTCGAGCAAGTTTAGCAAATGCATGAACATATTGTTCAGCAATTTGTAATGAAGCAGCATTACGTCCTTCCTAAAAATAAAATGTTCGATGGAATTTATTTTCAACAAAAAAAAAAAAAAAAGAAAGCTTTACTTCAGATTGAAGCTGATTAGAAACTGTTTGAAGTGCTTGTGCACGTGCACTAGCTCTTGCACGTATAGCTTCAGCTTCACCGGTTGCATTATTAATTTGTTCAAGTTTATAACCTTCACTAGATAATATAGTTGCTTGTTTTGTACCTTCAGCTTTATTAATTTGAGCTTCACGAATACCTTCACTTTCTAAAATTGTAGCTCGTTTACGTCTCTAAACATATTTAACAAAAAACAAAATTCTTTTTTTTTTTATTTATATTTATTATTTATTTACTTCAGCTTCAACTTGCATTTGCATAGCTTCTTGAACTTTTGCTGGAAGACGAATATCACGAATTTCATATCTATCAAAAAAAAAAAGTCAAAAATGATAAAAATAAAATCATTTATTTGAAATATTCAAATAACCTTAGACAAATAATACCCCATGCTTTAGCTGCTTTATTGATAGCCTCTATATAAAAAAACAAAACAAACGAATTAATATGTAAGAAAAAAAAATAATAACTAAAGATACTTACCAACAATACCAGCATTAAGTAACTCTCTTTCACGAAATAATGTATCTAATGTAATTTTACCAATTTCAGAACGCATTGTTGTTTGTGCAAGTTGTGTTACAGCAAATTCAGCATCTTCAACACCATAACTAGCCTAATAGATATTATAATTGATGTTTTTTCTATTAAAATATTTTTTTATTATCTAATACTTACCAAATAAGGATCAAATACTTTAAGATATAATACACCATCAATATTTAATGTCACATTATCTAAAGAAAAGAAATATTTAAAGAGAATAAAATTGAAATTCTTTAACAAAGGAATGTTTCTTTTCATTAGATAAACTTAAGATTCATCTTCAAGAAAGTTTTACTAACGAAAAAACTACTTCAAATGGCAAAATCATTTTTGAGACTCGTATCCTGTACATAAGATACACTCAAGTAAGATATAAAAAGCACTTAAAGGATAAGTACTCTTTGGATTTCACTCCAGAATTATAGCCATTTTACTGTAATTTTAAGCTCATGGGACTGTATGTACTCGGCATATCCGACCTGAAATTTTGCCCACAGATAGATTTACTTGTGACTGGAATGCTTTAAAAATTTCAGCTCAAAAGTTCATACCCTATTTGAAACCTCTTTATGTAAATTGACACTTTTGTATGTCTAAATATTAAAGATTTTAATAATTTCATAGTTGAACAAAAAATTGAAATATGACTTTAAAAGCAATTAAATATTTATGTATATCTTTTTGTCAAAGAAATTTTCTTTATACCTTTTGAAATAGCTGCTTGACTTGGAATTTCTATTGCAATTTCTTTTAAACTTTGCACATAACTTATATGATCAAGAATTGGTATTAAAAAATTTAAACCCTGAAAAAAAAAATAATATTCAAATCTTAAATAAATCTTTCATCATTAAAACTTACAGGATTTAATGTTTTATAAAATTTTCCCATACGTTCAACAACCCATGCTTCTTGTTGTGGTACAAATAGAACAATTGTATTAAATGGTAAACGAGAACGAAAACGATATTGTTGTTCACTTGCTGTAGTTGTTAATATACGTTGTAAAAGTCGTCGCTAATTATAAGATATATAGATAAGAAATGAAAAATTAATTTTAAATATTTACAGATACAATTGGACCTAATGTACGATTTAATACAAATGCCATAGTATTAAAAACCAAAAGCTAGTTCTATAAAATAAAAGAAAAGAAAATGAATTGTTTCCATAAGTAAAAGAAAAAAAGATGATGCAAGAGTATCATGATTCATATTTGTTTTTTTTTATTTAGATCAATCTGACATAATTAAAGAGAAAAAAAAAATATATATATATATAAAATGACTATCTGACAATGATGATTTATGGTGAAAAAAGTTGTCGTTTTGTTTCATCTAAAATAATTAAAAAAGAAAAATTTAAATAAATTAATTTAAAAAAAAATTTATTTTTTTTCTCACTATTTAAATGACTATAATCACTTGGAAGATTTTCATCACTTGCATTTAAATCATTCATATGAAATGGATTTCGACTATGACGATGTCGTGGTGCCGCTAAACGTGGAATATTTTCAGGTTTACATGGTGAAGGACCAGTTGTAAAATAAGAAGATTCCAAAGCCTAAAATAAATCTAATTTTTTTTTTTTTTCATAATTCTTTGTTTTTTTTACTTGTTTAGCTGTAGTTCGATATTTTGGATTCATAACAAGTAAACTTTTTAAAAGAATTAATTCTTGTTCATTAGCTTTTGGAAATTTTTTTTCAAAAGTTTCTTCATTATTTAATAAACTTTCATCATGAAATTGTAAAAAATGTTTAAAAGTTTTTACTTCTGGCCATGTTTTATCATTTGGTGAACCAAGTAAACGATAAATCATTAAAATTTGTTCAATTTCACTTTTACTTGGAAATACAATATGTCGATTAATTAATTCACCAATAACAACACCTAATGACCATATATCTGTTGATGTACCATATTGTCGATCACCAAGTAAAAATTCTGGTGAACGATACCATGCTGGTGGTAAACGATGAAGTTTTCGATATGTATCATTAACATATATTGAAATACCAAAATCAGCAATTTTTATTATTCCATGAGAATCAATCATAATATTTCCTGGTTTGATATCCTTGAATTTTGAAAAATGAATAATAGGAGAAAAAAAAAGAACGAATTTAGAATGAATATCATACTTGATGCATGATACCTGATGAATGAATATATTCAAGACCTGAAAGCATCATATAAACCATACATTTGATATGACTATGAGAATAACGATTATCGGTACAATGAATTAAACGCTTTATAAAAAAAAAATATATATTTGGAATTTATTTTGAAAAGAATTTAAGAAATTATTGACTTACACCAAGATCAGCAAGCATTAATTCAAAGACTAAAACAGCTACTTTTGAATCAGATGTATAGAATGAATCGAGTAACTAGAATAAAATTATTAGTTAGCAAATTTCTTTTTTCTTGTTTTTGCTACATTGTCTAAACTAAATTCTACCTTAATAACATTAGGATGATCTAATTTTCGTAACATTTGCATTTCATTTTCAGCTGCTGGTTCAGCCCAATCTGTATATTCACCATGACGGCCAACTTTAATCTATGAAAAATTTGTATAAAACAAAAAAAATATTATATTACATTTAAAAAATGAATACTTTTTTAATAGCCACTTCTTCATTTGTTGAAATATGTCGAGCTTTATAAATTCCGACAAGCTAGAAAAGAAAAAACATATCATCATTAAAATTTTCTTTTTTTTTTTTTGTTTGTCATCGATGATTAAATCATACTGAATCTTCTACGATCACTTCATCGATCACATAATTTTCGGATTTAGCAGTTGCCATTGAATTGAACAAATCAACAAAATATTTTTCTAAATTTTTTCTTGTGGTAAAATTGTTTATTTATTTTTTGATGATGAGAAAAAAAACCATTAGAAATAAATCAACAAATAAGAGAAAAAAAAAATTCTATTTATTAACATTTTACAGCGCCATCTTTCTGTCAGTATTTGTTTTCCATTTCTCTCTCTCCCTCTCTCTCTCTCTTTCTCTTTACACCAATTGGATCACAAGCAACTAAGTCAGTCAAATAGAGCAAGAGAGTTGATTGATTGATAGGTAGATAGTGAACGACCATCGGTCAAATTGTTTTTTTTTTTGCTTGTTATTGTTGTTGTTGTTGTTATTATTATTTCTTTTTTTTTTTTTTTTCTTACAAGAATTTCAATTGTTACATTTTAATTTAGTTATTATTTCATTAACAATGCAGATATGAATACGAATAATATAAATACTCCATTATCCAATCGAGTATGGATTTTTTTTTTGAAAAAAAAAAAGAAAAAAAATAATACTTTTGTTTTTTTTTATTTAAATATTATTTTAGTCGGATGGTACCGATCCACAATCAATTATTCCTTCTATGTATCCTTCAACTCCTGTAACAACATCAAATAATTATTTATCAAATCGTACATTTATACCACAAACACCAGCATCTATTAATTCCGAAATAGATACATCGACAACATCAAATATAACATCTATACAACAAAATGATCAACGAAGAAATATTATTCAACAACTTGTACTTTTACTTCATGCACATAAATGTCTTCAACGTGAACGACAAGCACAAGCTTGTAATGGAGATAATCATAATATAGCATCAACAACAACATCTTTAAATCCTTGTACATTACCACATTGTGCTACAATGAGAACTGTACTTCAACATATGACAAAATGTGCTGATTTTAAAAATTGTTCTTGTAAGTTATTTCACCGTTCGATGAAATCTGAAGGACATTTAAAGTATATGAATACATATATACGTTATAATCAATTATAGAATTTAGACAGATGAATATAGAAAATGGTGTTTATTCATTTTAGTCTTTTTAAGAAGCCTTCAGATTGAATTATTATGTTCTTTTCGAATATGAGTTCAAAATTTTTGTAGAACTTTTGCTTTAAGAATTATAAACTAATCTTATAGAAATGCGAAAATTATTTTAATAAAAGAGCAAACATATCCAATTGTTGGACTATGTTTGATTTCACATTAAGACTACGAGTAGGTCTCGATGAGATGAAGAAAAATTTAAAATAATTCTTGCCCATGGTCTAGTTATGACCATTTTAATGAAACTTTCGAAAGAAGTAACAAGGCCATAAATCTTCTTAGACTTTTTCTTACTACAATGGACCCTACATATGAACAAAATATAAAGGTAAACGAATGGGAAGAATCATTTTAAGCTCTTCATAAGTCATTTTCTAACAGGGAATCGAACATTTTTGAATGATTGTTCTGAAACTTTGGATACTTATATCACTTTGCCGAAAATAATTTTATACAAAAAAATCGTTAATAGAACGTATGCTTGCTACAATAAACGTCAATTTTCTCCGTTCGAACTTCATTTTCAAATCAGCTTAGAATTCCTACAAAAACTTTAATTCTAACTCCTTAAAAAATGAATAAATATTTTATACTAATAGAAAATCTAGCCGTATTAATACATCGATCATCACTGTAGGTTCTTCTTATGTCCACTGGTGTTTCTGCAAATGTCAGAATTACAAATTCGTTTTGAAAAAGATCATATTTTATTAAAATCTGTTTCATTTATTTAGTTAATCATTGTGTTCAATCTCGTCATATAATTCTTCATTGGAAGAATTGTGCTACACCAAATTGTTCTATATGTGGTTCATTAAAAAAGCCATCAGCACTTCGACCACAAAATTCCATACGTAAGTTATTTTTTCTTCATCAGAACAAAAAAAAATAAAATAATTTTTTTTGTTTTGTTATTTTCCTTAGCAAAAGAATGGCAACAACAATTACAACCAGATCATCGAAATCATTTAGTAAAAAAAATTGTTGCAGCATTATTAAATACTGTTCAACAAGATGGTCGTTCATTACCACCGGATCGTTTAACTGCAGTAACATCATATGCTCAACAAACAGAAGCTGAAACATTTAATACAGCTACAAGTCATGAAGATTATTTTCATCGTTTAGCTGAACGTATATATAAAATACAAAAAGATTATGAAGAAAAACAAATGTCAAAAAAACAACAAATTTTAACAACAACATTAACATCAATTGATAAATCAGCTGGTGAACAAGGTCCACCAAATCGTATTGCACCACAATCAGATTATCCACCAACATATTTACCATCATCATCAACAACAACACAGATTAAATCAGAAAATCAAACACCTAATCCAATACAATCCGTACCTTTTGATACACATCGTACTTCAACTGAAAGTCTTAATCGAATGAATGTTCATAATAATAATAATTCAAATATTATTTCACATGTTGATACAAATGGAACTCAAATAGATATAAAACATGTTAAAACAGAACAAATATCACCAAATCAAGATACAAAAATTCAAGTAAATCTATTAATATTATGTTTTTCTAGGAAGTGTAGATGTTCTCCTACTCTTACATCACTATCTAACCTGTTCGATGCATATCCACAATTTACTGTGTTCAAATCTCA